TGTCAACCTAACCAATTTTTCTTTTTTTTTCTTTTCTCTATTGAAATGTAATTAATGTTATTTTCTGCTTGAATTAAAAGAAAAAGAGTAGTAGATATTATTAGGTGTTACACTAAGTCATTCTTTTCACAGATATATCTAATGGCTGTTTAGTCATGCAAAATTTAATTAATTTATACTGTTGCCTTTTTTTTCTCATATTTCTTTTGACTGTTTTTTACATATATGTGAGCGAAGAATCAGACTGAAATGCAGCCGAGCTTACAACAATTTAAAGCACTTTTATGTTATACTATCGGCATCAAGACATGAAACGTTTTTTTTTGAAAAGCTGAGTGAAAAAAAAGATTAGTAGGAATAGAATATTAAAAGAAAAAAAAATTGAGATTACCCATGTAAAAAATAATGCGAGAAAATCTGATTATAATTGATTTTTTTGCGATTATTAATGTGTTATATTATAATACTGCCATTATAATAGATTATTAGTCGGAAAAAAAATCAATTATGATCAGATTTTCTTCCATCAGTTTTTTCATGAGTGGTTATCCTTACCTTTCAATTTATTATAATCTATTCTTGACTTTTAATCTATTTACAATCTGTTATTACTTTTTAGTCTATTATAATCTATGCTTACCTTTTAACCTAATATAATCTATTCTTACCCTTTAATCTATTATAATCTTACGTATCGAAGATAAGCGGTTTTCTCGACATTTCAAGATGAAATTTATAATTTTGCTGGATCATTTAGATTGCTCATGTTTACAAACTATACAGTTACTATCGAATCAAAGTCACCCAAGTATAGTAAAATTGGAATTCCTATATAAATTGTTTCAAGAGAGATGGCGCAATTATATTAGAAATCCATTAAAATCAATTAAAATCAAAAAATCGATTAAAATTAATGAGTCTTGCCTATTACATTTCGATTTCATAATGAAACAAAAGCCAGATTAGAATCATTTTTACGGGGTTAAAGTTGTTTACAACATATCTTGATGACAGCGATGGTTTGTTTTCGATATGGTTTAGTCTTAATAAGCGACATAGAGTACGTTAAAAGCCGAAATGCGGTCCTGGCTTATCCATGTAAAAAAAACGCACAAGGAATCAGATTAAAACTGATTATTCACAGAAAAATCAGAAAAAATTGATTATATATGCCAATTTCGGATTAAACTAAATAACCTAATCAATTATAATTGATTTCCACAGACGATAATCAATTAAAAACGATTCTTTTGGCAATAATCCAAATAATCGATTAAAAATCCAATCAATTGTAATAGATTCTAAGAATAATCTATTAAAATCTGTTATCTACTGGGTGTCTCAAAAGTCCTTTAGGAAAGTAAATTTGAATGACTCTATTATTTATCAAGCTTAACCAAGTAGTTTGTTTTTCAAATGATAGGTATCACTGTAAAGTTTCTTTTGATACGAACAACCTTCATAAATACTGTTCAAAGTTATTACTTTCGAGTAAAATACAAAAAGCATTCGTTTTTCGATTTTCAAAAACAATCACTACACAGTTTTTCTCTTTTAATGCTTTAGTTTCTTGCATTTTTTATGACATTTAGATCGACCAGATCTTTCATTATCATTTCTATGCATTTCCTTTGGTATGTCACTACAAAAAAAAAGCCTAATGGCGTCAAGTCCGGGAATCACGAAGCTTATGAAATCACTTTGTGCTTCTGAACGATGACTCGTGAACTGGAAGTGAACCTATCTTTTGAGCTTCCTGATCATCAGATTTGACACCACTAGCCTTTTTTTGTAGTGACATACCAAAAGAAATACATAGAAATGATAATGAAAAATCTGGTCGATCTAAATGTCATAAAAAATGCAAGAAACTAAAGCATTAAAAGAGAAAAACTGTGTAGTGATTGTTTTTGAAAATCGAAAAACGGATACTTTTTGTATTTTACTCGAAAGTAATAATTTTGAACGGTATTTATGAAGTTTGTTCGTATCAAAAGAAACTTTACAGTGATACCTATCATTTGAAAAACAAACTACTTGATTAAGCTTGATAAATAATTGAGTCATTCAAATTTACTTTCCTAAAGGACTTTTGAGACACCCAGTAGATAACAGATTTTAATAGATTATTCTTAGAATCTATTACAATTGATTGGATTTTTAATCGATTATTTGGATTATTGCCAAAAGAATCGTTTTTAATTGATTATCGTCTGTGGAAATCAATTATAATTGATTAGGTTATTTAGTTTAATCCGAAATTGGCATATATAATCAATTTTTTCTGATTTTTCTGTGAATAATCAGTTTTAATCTGATTCCTTGTGCGTGTTTTTTACATCGATATGAACAAGACAAGAAATAATATATGAATACGAAATCTATATTTCTTATTATCCAAGAAAGATTATTACCAGAAAGGATAACAAAAAAAAAATAGTTAAAAGTTTTATGAATTAAATATTATTGAATAGTTTAAAAAACGGCTAAAACTACTAATATGAATTTATAGTTTGATAATTACAAGTCACCAATAATAGATAATGTTCTTTTCCTGCAACTCATTTTTAAAAATGAACCTCTCGGACCTGTTTTTCACCTGGATGAATTAGAAAATTCATTTGTATTGTCGATCTTAAAAATTCTTCAAAATATTCTTTGTTTATTTACTTAAACTACCATGCGTGCCAGATACACTTTTAAATTTACTAAATGAGTTACGCCTAAGAATTTCAATTCATAATTGTAAAAAGTTATAGTTATTTTCAATAAACTTGTATATCACTGTTGCAGTTACGTTTGGAATCTAGTTGAGATTGGGATTACTTACTTCACTTTGTTTGATTAAAAATGTTTCTAGCACATATTCAAGCAAACTTATTTGTTTCTTGTCAAATTTATATTTACTATTACTTCTCGAACAATAAAAAGTACCTTCGTACTGTTATTTTGTTGATGAAAAGCTATTAGTCATTCTATTTATTGTTTTTTTTTTATAAAAGTAAATCTTACTCATCATTTTCCTTATAGTGTAGTTTCTATATCGGTGCTCGGGACATTGAGACATGCAATAATTGATTGAAATGAAATCGAGAGTATTTGAGCTATTTGTTTCAATAGAATACTTTTTTTTCGAGCTCCGGGATGTGGGGACGTTCAGTGATCGGTGGAAACGAAATCGAGAGTATATGAGCTATTTGTTTCTATAGAATAGGTTTTTTTTTCGAGCAGCGGGACATTGAAGTATTGGTTGAAATGAAATCGAGAGTATTTGTGCTACTTGATTCTATAGAATAGATTTTTTTCGATGCTCGTGATGTGAGAGGATCGAATGATCGGTTAAATGTTTAGTGTTAGCAAATTCGTCGTTAAAACCTTGAAATTGAATGATTTATGCTATTTAGAATAGCAGCCAATCTGTTTTTTCGATTGATTGAATAATAATTGAACTATAAATGGATTGTTGATTATCGATTCGATAGACTTATCGTGAGAAAGATTATCAATGTAAGATTGTAGTTTAGAATTGGCTATGCTCATTTTTTTGTAAGAGATTCATATAAAAAATAATAACTTATGTAATTGAAGACAAACAAACATAGAATACTTTTCTTAATTGGATGTTCTATAGCAACGAACATTAATCGATTATTTATAATGAGATGAATAAAATTCATAAAATTCTAATAGTCAATAAATCAGAATGATTAAAAATGGAAATATTCTATATGTAACTATTTTAAGATAATTCAAGATAAATCATAGAAGCTTGACTGATCATTTACAATCGCTAAAATTACAAACGTTGAATACAACAGTAAATAAACATTAATTATTGTGTGATTCATATTATTAACATGCATTCCAAACTCAACTGAATCAAAGTTAATTTATTTGTCTATAAATAAATATTATTGTTAATACACGAAAATCTATGCTAATGATATCGCTAATCATGTGTGGAATTATGGGTGCGATTTTATGCTAAGTCCTGAAAATCTTCCAAAACTTAAGCAGATATATATCACGGCTGAGAGGTTGATACATTACAGAAAATATGTTTATATACTGAACATTTGCCTATCATCTTTCGAAATTTTGGAAAGTTTTGACGAACCTAAACGTAATCATAATAGCAATTTCACGTATGAATAGTTATAGCATACATTTTTGTGTATTGACAATAATCTTTATTCAGAGACAAATAAGTTAACTTTGAAACTTCTAAAATACTCTATCAGTGATATGTGTCCGTCATTTGTTGGTTCAAACCAATCGAAAGACAAAAAGAAAAACTTACTCAAGAGGTAAAGCGAGTAGGACAAATATTGATAAAAAGCTTAGAGATATATATTTCATCGTCAATTCCAAAGTAACAAACCTTGATCGAATCAGTTGAAATACGTAAGATTGTAGAGAATTAAAATATGCATTTATTTAAATAAGAATTTGCTTCTTCACGTTTGAATACTATCGAAATATATGCAAAACACGAAGAGATTCATTCTTTAAAGGCCATCTATTAGTTATTTCTTGAAAATATTTTAGATCGACAACTGGTCTTATTGTCACTAGTCCTTTGTTTTCTTTTCGTTCGTGTTCTACAGAAAAAATATTTCTAAATAATTATTTATTCTTATTTTATTTTGAGAAACTCTATTATTTGGTAAAGGTGCTCATTCAAATAGTGACCTATTAATAATGATTTTTCAAATTCATGTTTTTAGTAGATAGAGCATTGCCAATGATAGGATATATTTTTTTAGTAATTTATTTTTATTTTTAATAGGGATCATTGATGCATTTTACAGTTGATGAAACTTAACGGATCGTTTAATTACCATCACTGAAGACATTGAAAATAATATACTAATAGCAAATTTATTCAAATCCATATAATATTCAATGTTGAGTTTTTCAGTATGATATGTTCTATGTATTCAAAGCAACATAATTGTAATTATCTTTGTCTAGATTGAAATTTTTGAAAGAATTTAATCATGGCGCCAAAAATCGTTCGAGTTCCGTTGTTTCTAGTGGGAGCTGTTCTTATTTTTATTATTGGCGTTCGTATTGGTTCAAATTTCTGTGAAATAAAACAGGAACCATATGCTATAGATTCTTCATTATCAACAGCTACGAAATTAAACAAAAATTTACAATCAATCGAAAAAAAAGATTTTAAATCATTTTCTTTTGCATATAATACAACTCATCTTTGGTCAATGCGCCTTGCTGATGACAATTATTATCGTATAGCTCGTCTTTTACCATGTCGTACTGTTAAATATACCAACGGTCCAAATCAGGAAATAATGAATTCTTGTGATCAATCAGTTATAAATGAATTTTCAGTAGAAGCAACACTACATGCACAACAATGGCTTTATGAACATCAGCATCCAATCGATTGTACAAATAAAAAATTTGCAATACTACATTCATTTGCTTGGTCTGGTTTTGGTTCGACCTTACATCAAATTGTATGGGCATTTGGTAGGGCATTAGCTGAAGATAGAATTGCTATTTATGAAACACCAGGAAATTGGGTAAGACAATATTAAATACGATTAAATTTGGTTTGAAATCGATTAAATTAAATCTTGTTTCTTGAAAAAAAAATGTTGTAACATAATGAGAACACATATTTGAGTAACAACTATTCTAACATCATTAAAATTATTCGATGATTGATTATTGTCCTGTTTTCTTAAATTATTGTTTGATTTACTGATGTTGTCGTCTTACGGGGAAATCTCCTCAGGTGGTTCTCTCAGATTTTGATGAATTTTTGTCTATAGATAATACATAGTGCCCTAGTAAAAACTTTAAAAGGATTTCGTGCATATTAAGATTTGAATAAGCTATCGAGTTTTTGATATGCCTGTTTTCCAGAGGCTCCTGTAGGATGCCAGGTTTTCGGAAAAATCGAATCTTCGAATTTTGATCTGAAACTTCGCGTATTTATAAATCTTAACTATACTAGTGTTCATAAAAAAGTTCAAAAGTTTTGAACAAAGTCTCTTCAAGATATATAGATTTCAAAAAATTCATGTTCTATACACATCTATGGAAAAGAGCTTAGATCTTCAAATTCTCATATCTTGAAAAGACTTTGTTCAAAACTTTCGAACTTTTTTTTATGAAAGCTATTATCGTTAAGTTTTATAAATGCGCAAAATTTCAGGTCAAAATTCGAAGATTCGATTTTTCTGAAAACCTAAGAACCTACAGAAGCCATTAGAAACTAGGCATATTAAAAACTCGATAACTTATACAAATCTTAATGTGTACTCAAATCTTTTTAACGTTTTTACCAGAGTACTGTAGTATCTGAAGACAAAAACTCATTAAAATTCGAGGGGAAGATTTCCTTGTTAGTCTATCATTTATGATCTTCTTCTTTTAAGTTTGATTGTTTTTTTTTCAACGATTACAGTTGTCCATATAATAGCTAGTAGAAATTATCTTCTAATACTTATTCATCGTATAAACATAAGTATAAACAATACGTCACAAACGATCATAATCTTGACATTACCTCGCAATCAATAGTTTTTGCTTTAATAATTAATATCAGTCTTTTCATATCATAAATTTTACACTTTAGTTACATGGTAATTGTAAATTGGGTACACCTGATTGTTTTTTTCGTCCAATTAGTAACTGTTCTATTCCTTCCAAAGTTCATGGTAACCAGACAATTCGTATGCCAGCTAATACTCATCATTGGTTCGAACCTACACATCCACCTATTTTTCAAAATCAATCTTTCAATTGGTACCGTTCACAATTGTTATTCTATTTAATACGATATAATCCTGAAACATTAGCTTATGTACAGAGCACAGTTGCGAAATATTTTAATCCACCTTCAGTCGATTCTCATCGTCCATATATTGCTGTTTATGTGCGTCGATCGGATAAAGTGAGAGGTCGAGAAATGTCACAATCTTATTCTCTTCAACAATATTTTGATTTATTCGATACTGATGCTCGTCTAGCTAAAATAACAAAAGTCTATGTTAATTCAGAAGATCAAAAAGTATTTAGTGAATTTGATCAATTAAACAAAAATAAACAAGGATATTACAAATTATTAAGTATTGATGCTACAAGAGATGTTACTTTTCCAACATTAATTAGTATGCCAGTGGAACAGCGTAGTAAAATTATATTAGAATTTCTAACTGATCTTTATATTGAAGTTAATGCTGATTTACACGTTGGTACACTTACATCAAATTGGTGTCGATTGGTTGATGAAATGAGATTTGTTCTAGGTAAAATAATACCATACTATACACCGGAGGATAGATTTATAATCGATGTGTAATGACAAAGATAAAAATTTCATTTTCACTACGCAAGTTTTCCATTCGAATTATTGGTTGTTTGATATTTTAGTCGACTTTATAAAACTTTCATTGACAAATTTTAGACTCTACATTGTATAAAGTGAATATATTTGGTTTTAAGCACAATAAAATCTGATATGTATCAAATATATACTACGGAAGAACTGAAATATAATTTCATTTCCATTCATATTACTATGCTGAAGATATACAGTAAATGAAGAAACATTCTGATAGCCTGTCAATTGATAATTTTATTCCACTGATAAGAAAATTAATGATATCACAAAATGTCATAGAAATACACTGGAATAATATTTGTAATTATTCTATCGATTGCTGACTCAAATATTCTATAAAATATGTAAACTTGCAATAGTATTATGTAATAGCTAAAAACTAAAACTAATAATAAGATTTAATAATGATTCGATCCATTATATGTAACATATACCTATACAAGTGGTTACAAATCAGAGATCATGCAACGAGAACAAATTCAAAAGATAAACCAATGTATTTAATGAATCAAATATCTTTTTGAATTGCAAGAAAGAGTAAATGATTATTCAAATTTATACGTACTTTAGCATTTACAAAAGAATCCAATACTTATTGACAAAAACAAAAAATATGATATATAATCAAATAAATAGAAGTATACATCAAAGAGAATCTTACAACCCGATCCGTACGACGTTATATCTGCCTGTTGATTCGGTTTCAGCTTTGTCAGATGGAATTTTAATTTCATTTTCTCTGATGTATTTTATCCATTTTTATGTTTTTATTTATATTTGAACCAAAAAAAATAAGTATCATCACCTGGTTTATATAACATACCTATCCCATAAAGGAGGTGTTCCAATATTTCTACAATAATTTTTAAATCTATTATTCTTACATACAGTATAAAGAAACAACCTTTTGAAATTTAAATAGAATTTCATTTCAACATATTACTAAATAATTCTAAAATCTCAAATACCTAGCTTAAATTGTGGTGCACGCATGAACTATAATAATATCACTATGGATTTACTTGAAATTTTTCCAAAATACTTATTAGTATCATTCAATGTAAGAGCGACGAAATAAAAGTGCATTTATATGTTTTATGAGAAATATATTCTTCAATGGCCAATAACAAAATTTTCATTTTTATATACAGCGATTGAGAGATGAGATAAGATTCGATAATTTTTCTATTCTATTTTTAGTTCAGCATATGTCTGTCAAAAATATATAGAAATTCATATTTATCCTATCATTTTGATACGACATAGGGTTGATAAATATATTTGGAATGTTTTTTACATATAAAGTAATATTGTGATGGTTCTTAACATTACCTTGAGCAATATTACCTTAGCATCTTACAATTATTTTATATATGGTTACAACATTATAGGTAACTTTTAAAAGACTTGCTCATATTGTACGAAATTACAACAAGTTTTGAAACCGTTATCGAGTTCGTGGAATATTTTTTTTTGATGATATACTGATTTCTACATTTCTTATATTTACTAATTGAAACATGTAGTTTTTATCTAACAATTATATTCAAAGAAAATAACGAATTTAACATAAATGAAGGAATTAGACTTTTCACATTCGGATTTGGCCTCGTGTCAGATCGAGTTCTGTTTTCTTGCATCGAATCGTACTCACATTGGAAAAATTCAAATGAAATAAAGTATTCATATTTTCTGAGTATTGTTTTTAGCATTTGATTATAAATATTTATTTGAAACATTTAAATAGAAGACAACAATTCAAATATTTCATGACAATGTTTAAGCAAACAGTTGTTTTTTTTTATTTTACAGAAATGCGAATGCACCAGATCATTTATAAGTAATATCAATGTGTATATTTTATTTTTTTATTTATTAAAGTGAGTTACATAGAAAATGAAAATAAAATGTCTGAATATCGTTCATTACAAACAAAACCTGTGTCTTTTGCACAACATATTAAGACGAACAAAAATATGTTAATTTTGACTTTCATAGAATATGATGATGATGATGATGGAGGTCGAATTCTGAGATTAAAAGAGAATTCAGCATCATGCACATCATAAAGAAATGACACAAAGAATAGACCAAATGAAGCTTCTATGGATCAGTGAAAATCTATTGATATTATAATGACATTCTGATGATTTTATCGCGTATTTGAAATATTGTAATGATAAAAGGCTTTACTGCTTCGTCCGATTTTTATGGAATTCACGTATATTTTCAAAGAAAATAGTAAATGTATGTTTTCAGTTGAAGTTTTGCGACCCCCATACCCCTTCCTCGCCCCACATTACAGACTTTAGCAATCAAGAACAACCGGCAGCAGACTTCTTTTCCATGATTCCTTAACAACGGAAAAGAAAACACTGAACAGCATTAATTACACGATTTAGACTGTTTTAGAAAATTTCAAAGTCTTCATCGAAATTTGAATGGCTGAAGTACGTTTGTGAATATTCTACATAGTGCAGTTTTTGATTTTTGTAAAGATAAAAATATATATTCAAGATGTCAACGATAGTGGGTAGTAATGTATTGATTTGCTACAGCTGTTATATAATCAACATAAAAATCGTGAATTGATCGAGTTATAACTTTGGAACATAATCATTACCAGTATTTATAAGTTAATCGTGATATATAATAGTGCATTAAAACCAGCTGCTGTAGATATAATGGATATTTACAACAGCCTCACTTGCCATTTAATACAATACTTATAATAATAATAACAATGTTAAATTAAGAAAAACGAAATATTAAAGTGAAAAATAACGAGCGAATTGCAACAAGACAAACAAAAAGCAGAGTGCCCGTAAAAAAAATTTCTGCTCTAAATGTAGAAATAAATAAGATAAATCGCTACTGTGGTGATCGGTTATCTTGGAAAAAATAACTATAGTCTACGAGAGATTTTTCACTTTGCATATTTTGTATCAGTATAATGAATTTAGCAATCCTTTAGAAAGAAAACATTGCAAAATTTATTTTCTTCAAATGTATAGAAAAATGTTCACATTATTCTTTAAAAATATTTCACAATGTATAAAAGAAAACAAAAATTCATTAAATAAAGCATTTAACTTGTATTAAACTCTGTAATATATCATGAATTATTAGACTTGAACTATTGCTGACATGAACATGTTAAATATATAACAAAAATTGCAATAAATCATAAAATATATAATAATATAAAGAAAAATATATAACATCATCATTCATTATCTAATGATAATTGCGCTTCAACTCGTCTGTTTCGACCTCGTGAATGTTTTGAAGAGACATAATCTTCATTGACAAGAGTTTTTACGGTTCCGTTTGAAGGTTTTATTATTTTTGATAGAGTTTCTGATGCAGTGATCGCATCTTTAAAATGAGCTTCAGTTGTTTTACTTGCCCATCGTTCACGTTGATCAATATAACGTTCATGATCAATATTATTTTGAATTTTTTTTGGTACATCTGGTACAAGCCATTGCATTAAATAAATAATAAAAAATATAACATGTTCAAAAACAATAATAAATGCAAGACGAGCAGCTAATACATTCCAATAGATTGATGTTTGAGAATAAGATGGTCCAGTTGGTTCACGAAAATCACGATAACTAAATAAAATAACAAAAGTATAACAACCATAGAAGCCAAAAAAAAAAGTTTTTCCTTTGTCTTACCGACAAATAGTTAAATTATCTGGTATTTTTTCTGGCACTGTATCGGTAAGATTATAATCAACAATAGAAAATGATGAAAGTGTCCAATTAACATAACCACTCAGACTTCCTCCTGTTGATTGAATTGAACGATATGCCATTTTTGGAATAAATTCCGATGTCCAAGCAATAACAACAGCCTAAAAGTAATTAATATTTGTATACTTTTGTATATTTCATAAAATAATATTTACATTTGTTAGAACAGCAATATATGATATAGCAGAAATAATATCACTCCAGATGCCAATATCAGATGCTTTAAATGGAATAGGTCGTTTATATTTAGATAAAAATTTCCATGCATCCAAACGTATTTCAATTATATTATTTAATAAGGCAAACAATGGTGCAAGTCTAAAATTTTTGTTTTCAAAACATTAAAAATAAAAAGATTTAATTAAATCAATTCAACATACGGAAAAGCAGCAACAAATAATGTAACAAAACCAAATTGAATAACTGTAGAAACATAATCAAAACTTATATTTTCATATATTTCTATGAATAGACATAAAATAAAAAAGTTTTACCTAATTCTAAATATTCATCGATAAGCGTATTTGAATTAAAATCAAATAGTTGATTATCTTTTTCCCATTGTTCTTGTGCTTCAGGTTCGCCACGTTTAAAACATATTCGTGTTAATGTACGACGCATTGCATTAAAGAATTCTAATAAATTATTTATAATTTGTTTGCCAATCATAACTAAATATATAGAAAAATCATTATGATTTATATCGATTTGATTTTATAATGTTACTGATAAAAAATTGTATAGAAAGTTCGACCAAACAACCTGCTGGATCGCACTAAATCATATAAAAACAATTGAAACTATTTTTCTATATTTATTATTATTATTATTTATCTTAAAACAAACAACTAATCAAGTAAAGTGAATAAGCGAATTATTATACATTAGCAAAGCAAAGACATCAAACCTGTTCAGTAAAATTTGCCGAATCTGGGTCACCATATTTCGATGGATATTCAAAGAATCTAAATCGAACTTATAATTGATTTGTATTTTTTGTAATTTAATTTACTTACCGTCCTTTAAAAAAAGCAATATAAAATAATGATGAATAAAAATTGACAAATTGAAAAAGATATATTTTAATTATCAATGAATCATCATATGTCGATTGATATTTATGAAGTTCTAAAAAAAAATATGTATTCAATAAAAATAAAAATAAAAAAAAATAAAAAAATGATTACCAAGATCAGTTAATTTTCGTGCAATCCAATAATAAAATTGTGACAATATAATAGAACAAATGAGATTCATAATGGCACTTGTTACAGTTATTATAATTGGTGAATATGTTTTCACACTTGTTTTTTTTAAAATATAATCCATACGAGAACGATACGCAATTGTTCCAAAAACAGTCACACATACAATAGCCATCTAAATTACAGAAATAATCAAGCTCATTGTATAAAATAAATTTTCGATTACCATAAATAAAACAACAGCAGCTGCAACTAAAAAGAATGGTATCCGTGTTCGAGTTGAAACATACGGTTCATTTATCTAAAGAAATATTTATTAATTGATCTTATCATTTTATATAGAGAATAAATACCCCAGTAACAGGATTAATACGTTTGTTACCTTTTTTCTTCGCTTTATTTTCAAATGCCGGACGTATTGGTTCAAGATGTTCTTCAAAACCAATTGAGTCCTATAAATAAGAAAGCTATACATAATCTTCATCTATATAAATAATCTATGTTACCCAATCATATTGTAAGGCTGCCTGTCGACGTTTCCAAAATTCCATAAACCATCTATTCACGTAAATTTACAAAAACAAATATGAACAAATAAATCTTCTATCTTTATACCTTGCCCATAGAGACATCAATATAGAAAAAATAACCGTAGTCGTGTTGTCAAATACGTATGAAATCTGTAATAATCATATTCCATATAAAAATTCATAAGATGAAAATCTATATCTTACTTTTGAATATAAGCAACTATCACTGAGTTTCCAAAATGGACATGTTTTATCACATCTTGGACACATATATGTTGTGCGTCCTAATTCTCCACAAATATCAGATCTAATTTTATTGCCAAAAAAAAACAAAAGACAATTTATTCAAGTAATATATATATATACATGTATATATAGAAACCAAAATAATATGAACTTACGTCGGTCGATCTGAAAACACACTACTTATACCATAGATAAACATAATAAGACCAATTAATGCTGCTGGAATTAGCATTTGATTATAAAAACCACAAAGTGCAAAATAAAATGCAACTTTTTCACCCATATATGAACGAATTAAAGATAATGGTTGAAATTTCAAACATTGACGCATTGTTGCCCAATGTTTTTTTAATTTCTATTGTTTTCAAAAAATACATATATTAAAAGATTTTTGTTTTAGAAAAAAAAATTGAACATACTTCTCTATCATTTAATTCACTATCATCAACATGTTTTACATCATCTCGAACAGACTTTAGAAAACATCGTGAGAAAATATATATATATATATATTGAAATCTAAGAATAAAATATAATTTACCTCATGTAAAGGAAAATAACACTCGTAGGCTTTTTTTGTTATTAATCGATCAATGCCTAAATAATAAATAGGAATATTAGCAGTAGAAGAATGACACATGATGAATTTTGTTGTACTCTTCAAGAACTTTACTTCCTATCTTCAAAAAATACAAGTATTCATAATTTCAATCAATTTTAAAACTTCTCAAAGTTTGTGAATTCAACTATGAAATAACATGTAATTAGTGGTGGCGCCACGAAAAGGCTGACGAGGAAACTTCTCCAGGTGTCAAATCACTTTTCGACCGAGACAATATTCATTTTTTTGAATGGTAGAGAGTAATAGAAAAGTCTAGAATGGTTTAATTTTCCGATCTTTCCTTCTTGAGATATCAAAATTTTATTGACTTTTTCATTCTACTCAGATGGCGTGAGAAATTAATTTTCGAGTTTCGACTTCAAAATTTGTGCGAACAAAGTTCCCAATGAATTAATTTATTGAGTAAGTTGTAACTTTTCTAATATTTCCTTTCTGGAGATGTAAATATATGAGGAAAATTTCGAATATTCAATATCTCAGGATAGGAGATAGTAGAAAAGTTACAATTTCTAATCTCATTAAGAAATTTGTTCGTGCAAAGTTTTAAGTCAAAACTTGACAGTCAATTTCCTACGTGACCTGATTAGAACAAAAAATCCAGTAAAATTTCGATATCGTAAGAACAAAGGTTCGAAAAATCAAACCATTGTAGACTTTTCTATTAATCATTAGTACTCATTAAATAAATATCGTCTCGGTCAA